ATCTAAATGAGACAAGTTAAAAATACACACATATTGTAATCAGAATCTCAAGCTAGTGGTCTCTTTAGACAACATTCTCCCTGCTTTTCCTGGGCATTTTATTTTATTTTCCCTGAAAAGTTGCCTCCTTCAACTGTCCTTTCTTCTCCCCTAATTCATCACCTCCCAATTCCCCTTGTCTTCCTTTCTCCCAAGGACCTTGTCATTTAAGTGTGTGTGTGTGTGTGTGTGTGTGTGTGTGTGTGTGATGAAATGTGGGTGTCTTCTGGATTGTGAGTCCTAAACCTGTTCTCAGTAGCTCAGCTTTGAAAGCATTATTCAAAGTGGTTCTCAGCATTACATTTATATAAAGACAACCCTCAAATCTTTGGACCTTAACTTTTAACCTTAAAAAAAAAGAAAAACATCCATCAATATCACAAGCAGCATGAAGAGTGTTTATAAAAATATGTATAAGAACAATAAACTAACTAGTTCTCCCAAAGAATTTGTTCAGGGGCAATAGACAGTTAAAAATCACTATACTATAAATCCTGGGAACTATGAAACAGATGAAAAATTAGTGAAAAATGCCCTGACCCCCTAATGGGGGGGGGGGGAATTAATCCTCTTGGTATAGGACGAAGCACCCTTCTTGTAGTTAAAATCTCTTTTTTATTTTCCTCTACTTTTTATTGTTCAAGGGGCTGCAAGGTCACAGGCTGGAAAGGAACTTCGTTACGACCAGTACGCCCCGGTATGGTACCATTCCGGTACGGTGCTCCGGAGGATCCACCTGCTCACGCTCCTTACCGGTATTTGAGCTCTTCAGGGCTTCAGCGCACAGAGCGTATGGTGCCTGCGTGATGCTCCGCCGAGCAGCTAGAGCATCACAGATAGTAAGTACGCATGCACGCGCTGCACGCATTCATGTGTGAATGCCGGAACCCACCACTGGTTCAAAGGAATTAAAAATAGATATACAAAGACTTACAGTAACACCTATACCTTTAAGATTGAGATTGCAGAAAACAAAAACAAGTTCAAAAATCAGGATTGGTCACCTGAAGTAAAACTTCAGTATGAATCCTGGTATTCTGTGAAGGTAGCAACATAGATATAGGAAGCCACAAATAGCCTACAGACATTTCATTGCTGTTCTGGTGAAAAAAACTCTTTGTGTAGGGAAAAAAGTCATATTCAGAGAAAAGCAGCTTAGAGAATACATATGTACCATTTAGTTCCACATAACTACTTTCTCCATTTTAAAAATTTAGAGGAAAAGAACAGGTTATAGACATGGGCTTAGAGCAGGGATGTCAAACTCAAGGCCCATGGGCTGGATTCAGCCGTGGGATGTTTAAATCTGACCTGTGGGGCCAGCCTAGAAATAGCAAAGGGCCAGTCTGTCGGGCCTCTGGCATCCAAAATAAGGTGCAGGGGCCCAACACACCTCGTTTTGGCTGGCAGGGTGTTGCAGGAGGAGTCTGTCCCATCTCCCCCCAATCCCACTAGCCCTCTAAGAAATCCATTTTCACACTCCTGGCTTAGAGAATATACTTTATCTGTGAAGGGGACAAGAATTAAAAATTGATAGTTATCGTTCACATTGTCATGTTGTTATATTCTGCATATTTGTGATAAGTTAGTGCAGATGTATTTTTATCAAAAGACTAAAAAATAAAAATAAAAACCAATTTCAGAAAATACCAAGAAAACAGACTTGACTGCTATTGTGGGTAATTTAAAAAATGACTTCTCACCCTTAGGCTGGTCATAATCCTCAAAAGAAAGCCTCTGGTCTTCTAATTCAGTCTGAATTATTGGCTGGAATTCTTTAACTTTGTCATTATCACATGTACATTGAACCACATATTTGATCTGGACCTGACTGGTTCTGTACACTACAAATTCATCGTCCTTATTGGAAGAAAACAAAATAAAACATATATTTTAGGAACCTTACCAGAGCACAAATATAGATAGATAAGCTGATCCTGAAGTCCTACTCACAGTTGCCAAAAGCCAAGTTAGGCAGAGAAAAGTTCAGAAAGCTGAAGTATTATATCAATTTAGCAAACTATTGCTTCCCTTATGAACTTTGGTTAACTGCTTCTATACAAGAACTCACTTGAGGACTTTTGATGAGAATTCAGGGCAAAGTTGATGGCTCAAGAGACTACCTTCCCTGCAGGGGTGCGAGTCTACCGGTTCAAAGCGGTTTGGGCAATCCTGTAGTTCCAATATCAGCGGCTTTCAGTTAGGCTTGCCCGGCCCTGCGCTATGCTCACCTATATTCCCTTTTCTGAAGCCCAGCTGATAGGCAGGGCAGAGTGGATTGCCACACCTTAGCTGTTTTCCTCCCCAGCAGTAATGCGGAAGATGATTTCTCTGTAAACTGTGCATATGCGCACTGCGTATTAGGGACGTCCGCTCAGCGAACTGGTTGTTTAACCGGCAGGATCCCACCCTTGCTTCCCTGGAAGCCTATCAGATTTTAAAATTAATAATGGTTAAACTAAGGTAACAACTTTTACTTTTAGCTCTATACTCATTTTTAACATTTTTACTATTAGCTATTTGCCTTTTCCCTTCGTATTCTAGATTATTTACAACTAGCTGGATCAAATACCTCAAAAATAGATTCTTTCTTTTCTGTTCTACGGACTCCATGTACACTATCATAACCTATGAAAATGTAGCAGCTTTCCTCAGTCTTCCAACATTTTCCAAGTGCTACGTCACAAATGAGCAACAGTCGAGTTCCATCTGTTTCACATGGCTGGGAATACTTAATGCTTGTTCTATTAAAAAGAGAAAAATGTCTGCTTATTCCAAATGCTTTTTTTTCATAGCCATCATTTAAATTAACTATTTTAGTTAAAGCAAAAGGCCAATTAGCTTGCCAATTGGCCTTGCTGTCTTAACCACATTAGTCTGAGCCTTATTGGTTCTGTTTGGACTGTCATGTCTTACCCAACAGTTTCTAAAGCAGGGAAAGGCAATTTTTTAATGACCAATCCCAAGTAGTTTGAGGAATGTGTTGGGGCTGGTAGAAAGAGAAAAGATCATCAGATTAACATTTATTAGGTGCATCACACCATTGTCTCTCAAACACATCTTAGATAATCTTTAAAATTAATTATTCTCTCCAATAGACAATGGACCTCCAATAGACGTACTCCCCATTGGTCTTAAGACAAATGTGAAGCTCATGTAAAGTCAGGGTGATTCCAGCAGGAGGAAATGGGCTTATACCAAGAATCATGCTTGCTTTGAAAACAGACAATTGTTCATTAAAATTTATCTGAATCAATTTTGTATTTTTAAATGCATTGGGGTTTAGAAGTCCAAGAATTTATCTCATTTGGTGCCTTTTTTTGAAATGCAAAGAGCTGTAGTTCCAAGCCACCTTGAAGGCATCAGACTGGGGAAATCTGCTCTAGTGAAGCATTTGAAGTGATGTGCCAGTGCCTGGAGGCTGTCAGGGTCTGGATGGGAGCAAACAAGCTTGCACTCAATCCAGACAAGACCGAGTGGCTATTGATGTTGCCTCCCAAGGATGGTCCTGACATTCCACCCCTTAGCCTGGGGGGTGAAATTATTCACCCCTCGGAGAGGGCCCGCAATCTGGGTGTCCTCCTGGATCCACAGCTGATGTTAGAACACCATTTGTCGGCTGTGACCAGGGGGGCCTTTGCCCAGGTTCACCTGGTGCACCAGTTGCGGCCCTATCTGGACCGGGAGGCATTTCGAATGGTCACTCACGTCCTTGTCTACTGCTATATTGTCACCTCAAGACTGGATTACTGTAACGCACTCTACATGGGGCTGCCACTGAAGAGTGTCCGAAGACTACAGCTGATCCAGAATGCAGCCGTGCAAGTGATAATGGGTGTACCTAGATACACCTATGTTACACCTATCCTTTGCGAGCTGCACTGGCTTCCCATCGGTCTCCAGACCCACTTCAAGGTGCTAGTCATTACTTTTAA